TGGGACTGAGCCCTCAACCCGTGGGGTCTGCGCTAACTCCAGGAAGCCGGTGTCAGAACTGACGTGAACTAGAGGTCGCCAGTGTCACCACAGAGAACTGAGGATGACTTGGTGTGGCAAATGCCCCATGCTTTGGCGAAGTGCTGAGAGTGCAGTAAGAGAAACAGTTTGTCTTTTCCACCCTGGTCAATAAGCCAGAGAGAGGCTCTCAGAGCAGCCCGCGGGCGGGACTCACACGGCCCTGCCGTTTAGGAACTCCTCCACCGCCTGGCAGTAGATGGTGATGGCCACTCGGGCATCGGCGTCGAAGGTGAACTCCAGGCTGTAGAGCACCCGGGGCTTCTCGCTGTCCTCGGTGGGGCTGTCAGCATCGTCCTTGTACCTACCCGAGGGAGGCGGACAGGCAGCAGGTCAGGGGGTCACAGCCTGCAAGAGCCGCCATCTGCCCCACACGGCGAGGCCCACAGAGGCAGCTGCTGGACACACCTCGCTTTCCAGCAAACGTGGAGGCCCAGCTCCTGCTTGGACAACAGGCCCAACAATCCAGCGTTCACCTTCCCCCTCTGCCCACAGAAAAGGGGGATGAATCCTCTGGGTTTAGAGATGGCCCCAGATGCCTCACGTCTGACAGACTTAAAGCAGTTTCTCAACCTACTGAAATCCAGGGCCAGGTCATTCTGGGCTGTGGGGGGCTGTCCTCTGCACAGCAAGAGGTACAGTAGCACCCTGGCCTCCATCCATTAGATGCAGGAGCACCCCACCCCCAGCCCAGTGTCCCCCGGAGCACAAGTGGCTGGTTGAGAACCATGGTGTAAAGGATCTAGTTCCACTGCCCTTTCCCAACCTCACCCAGGGGGCAGCGCTGGGCTCCTGTGCCCTGCTCACAGCCTCGGGTTCCACGTGGGGCCCGCTCGAGGCCCACTCTTCTTCCCAGCATCCACCGGGAAGCCCTGCCCAGGCACATCCCACAGAGCCCCAGGCGCCCCAAGGCAGGGTCAAGGGTTACCTCACAAGCCGGAGGGAGTCTTTGCGGATGTTCACCAGGCTCCTCAGTGTCTTCACCGGCTCGTGGGGGGCGGGAGTGACGTAGGGAAACTAGGAGGGAAAAGCAGGAAGCAACCCCAGGTCACTGCCTCTGAGTGGCAGAGGACAGAAAGCGCAAGGCTCACAGCCCCGGTCTCCTGGGCTCTGTCCCCACAAAAGGGGCTGCATGGATGCCGGGTACGTTGTTTTCACACCCAGCACGGCCAGCGTGGGGAAGCCAGGACCACGCAGCCCTGAAAAGAATCCGACGTCTCGGCCGCGTCCCCAGTTCCAGGGAAGACCCTCAGTGACTCCACCTCGCCAAAGGGACGGGGGTGGTGGGGGGCAGAGGCAGCCAAGGCTGGAATCTCAAGCTACGTTCCTGGTGGTGGGACGTGACACTTGCCGCTGTCTTTGAACAAGGCAGCCGATTCATATGACAAGAACAGCCAGTAAAGGCTTAGGAAGGTTCATGCACGAGTGCATGCAAAGCTGTGACATCTGGAAGACGTGGCTGTGTACGGCAGCGCCAGGCTTCGACCCTGTGCAGGATTCTACAGGACGCTGTCACTGGGGAAACTGGTGGGGGCACACGGATCTAAGATGTCTTACAATTGCAGGCGAGTCCACACTGGTGTCAAGGTAAGAAGTTGTACGAAAGACCCATGCAGGCCCATGGGAGCCAAGCCCTGGCAGGAGGGGGCTGCTGCTCCTGCTCCCTGCTGGTCCCACAGGCAGGAGTGGGCAGCACTCGGCCCCGCCCCCACAGCCTCAGGATCAAAGTTCCATGTCATGCAGCTGCCCAGTGGCTGAGACGGCCTGGAAACCCTGGTCTGGAGGACCCTGCCAGGCCCGAGGGACACCCTGGGTCTCGGCAGCTTCAGGGAGAGGGAGCCCAGTGTCTCCTTAGAGAGAGGCCTCCCACCAGGCCCCTGCCATCGCCTCCCAAGGATTTATGGGCCCTCTCACCTCCTCCTCTGCTCTCCGGCCCCTGCTTTCCTGCTCCTCCTGGGGGCTCCTTCCTGCCCACCACGGCTTGGCTCAGCCACGGCTCCATGGGGACTACCCTCCGTCCCCCTCTCTTTTGACCATTCACTCAGCCAATGTCAACTGTCCACACCCCAGTAGGGAACAGGGGCAGGGTCTGACTTCCGTCCCAGCCCCTGGAGGAGCACCAGGCACACAGTAGGTGCCAAATCTGTGTTGAACGAATGAACAGTCATGCTTGAACGTGCACTCTTCTGGTAACTAGTGAAAAATATTTGCTGTTTACACTTCTCCTTTGGATCATGTCTCTTGCCCACTGTTCCATGGAATGTAGATGTTCTTTTTGCTTTTTAAAGAGTCACCCAAGAGGCCTGGAATTAAATCTGTACCTTTCTGCAGCCCCTGCAGCTTGGATGCACCAGTTCAATGTGGCTGCTCTGTCCCTCGGTGACCTGCACCTGGCCGTCTGGCCTCTAAGGGGCAGTGCCAGGACATGCCCTGTTCCAGTCACACGCCCATGTCCAGCTCAACTGCAGGCCTGCCAGCTCTGCCCATGTGGGGTGACTCGGTGCCTGCCTGCCCTCCCAGTGGGGACAGGGCCTCCCACCCACCCACCAAATGAGGACACAGATGACTGGGGACAGGCCTCCCACACCCCCCAGCAGTGACAGACAGCTGGGGACAGAACCTCCCATCCCCCCAGCAGGGACAGACGGCTGGGGGACAGAGCCTCTGACCCCCGCAGCCCCACAAGCCTGCTCTGTTCAGACCCACCTGGACTGGGCGGCTGCCCAAGAAGTTCAGATCCATGTTCTCGCCAAAGAGGTAACCTTCAGGGTGGGGGGTGTCGAATTTCTCGCCTCCCATGAAAAAGTGCGAAGCAAAGTAGTTTCCTGTGTAAAAAGGGAAACATAGTTGTAGATTCTCAGGCTCGACCCAGCCCAGAGGGAACATGTGGTGGCTGAGAAGCCAGCCTTGACAAAGACTCTGTCCTGGGAGAAGCCGCTGTCCGTGGGCTGGCCCCCCTGCTGATGGCCCAACCAGCCCAGCCTCGGGCCTCTGCACACCGCCAGCCTCAACGCCCTTCCCTCTCCTGGACGCTCCCTGCTCCCAGACTCAGAAGGAAGTCTCAGCTCCTGCCCTACTTCCTCCTGTTGTGGGCTGAGCTGTGTCCCCCACAAAGACGTGTTCCAGTCCCACTCTACCCCACTGCCCCCACCTCCTGTACACGCGACCTTATTTAGAAAGAGGGTCTTTGTTGATGTAATCAAGACGAGGTTAAGATGAGGTCATACTGAATTAGGGAACCCTAAATCCAAAAACCAGTGTCTGAGTAAAAGAAAGGAGGAGGAGATGTGGATACAAGGGAAAGCAGAGACTGGAGTGATGCGGCCACAAGCCAACGACAAGGAACCCAGAGCCTCCAGGAGCAGGAGACAAGACAGGCTTCTCCCCCCGGTGCCTTCGGCAGGAACAGACCTGCTGACACCAAGGTGTCTCTAGACACCTCTGGAACCATGAGAGAAACATTCATGTTGTTTTAAGCCATAGTTAATGATCATTTGTTATAACCACGCCCAGAAATCCTTACACACCCCCACACCCCACAAAAACCCCCACACACACACCCAAAAACCCGCCCCCCACACCCTCTCACAGCAGAACACGCCACGGGGAAAAAACCCTGGGCTCGGGGATAACAGCACACCCGCCCCACACCACAAGAGGACTTGAGCCCAGAACTGGTTCCCATGATGTCCCTGGCACGCTCGGGCACTAACTCTGCCTTCCTCCTATGCGGAAAGGGACGAGAGGTGTCAGACCCCAGTCAGCCTCAAAGAACCAAGCACGCGGCATCCCCTGTGCCTCCTGACCTGATGCCTGCCCTGTCCCCGTGTCTCTCTGCACGGAGGCCCTGAGAGGAAGACCCAGGTGACCATGGGGCCTAGGGATTCGTGGATCCTCAGACTGTGTCCCTCAGCCTCATGTGCAACGGGGACTGCTGGGCACCTGAGCCCAGGTGGGTCCTTCCTGAGAACCACAGCCCCAGTTACAGTGAGCAGAGCCACGGCCACTGGGCCACGGCGATGAGGCCAGGAGGCTCCTCCCCAGGGAGAGGCCCAGAAGCAGGAGCCCAGCCTGACTGTTCTCCACAGCAGAGAACATAAGGCAGAACAGCAGGTGGGCCCCAACCCTAACCCACCCTGTAGTTCAGGAACCCGTGAGAGCCTGCCGCGGCGAGAAAAAGAATAAAGCGGCAACTAGTGAAACAAATCTAAGACCCCGATTTCGTGGAACGTCACGTAGCTCTTAGAATCAAGCAGACCTGACACACTGACGTGGAATGACAGCCATGGACTATTCGTTAGTAAATAAGCTGAACATGTTGAAAATCAAGATCTCATTTGGGAGAAACCTGCACACGCCGACATGGGTGTAAGACAAGTTCTAAGGACCCAGAGAATGGTCTGAAAGGAAGCGTCCAGGAGGCTTCCAGGGACATGAGCGCAGGACTGACAAGGCAGGACCACAGCCCAGACATTCCGCTTTGTGTTAGCGTCTTCGCATTGAACGCGCACCGATGCGGTGTTTTAAATCAGTAAGAACAGCTGAGATCCAGGTAAGCACAGGATGCCTTCCCCCATCACGGGGCACTCGCGCACAGCCCACCACGTGAAATCACCGGTGTGTCTGACTGTGCAGAGTCTTGAAAGGTGGTACGTCCCACAACGGCCTGTGGGGTGTTGGTGGGGGCAGGCACCCAAGGCCTAACACAGGGGGTCTCTGGACCCTCTTCTCTGGAGCTCAGCTTCAGTCTCGGTTGGCCTTTGGCCCATCCAACCTCGAGCCTGAATCACAGAACAGGGAGAGGGCCTCAGCTGGAAGTCAGGGAGAGCCCAATGCAGAGCCACCTGTCCCGGTCTGCCAAGATGTGCGCAGTGTTCATTAAAACAGCAACCAGGCTGGACACGGTGGCTGATGCCTGTAATCTCAGCACTCTAGGAGGCTGAGGCAGGAGGATCGCTTGAGCCCAGGAGTTTGAGGTTGCTGTGAGCTAGCCTGGCATCACGGCACTCCAGCCCCAGGCAACAAAAAAAAAAAAAAAAGACAAGGTGAGAGACAAGAAGGAAGCCATGAAGATGAAAGAAAACAAAGAATAACCACACCCACTGGGCTCTCCCTCCATACCCAGTTTCCCATGGGCCCCAGCCAGAGATGGACAAATGCTGCTCCCACGCCGAGCTCACTGTGGTGGAGCTGGGGCTCAAACTTGCAGACTCCAGAGCCGACTGTGTCTCAGTCCCCATGCTGGGTACCTCCCCACCCCCACCTCGGGGGACAACAGGGACTGCTCAGTGGTGTCATCACCAGGCACAACAGGCAGCTGTTCACACACAAAGAGCCACACGCAAAGGCCTTCCCAAGCAGAATAGCTAAAAATCCTTCTGTGGCCATGCTCAGAGGGCCCAACACTGGCCTAGAAACTCCAGTGACACCCTGGGACCCCAGGGCCTCGGAGCCTCTGGGGCAGTCCTGAACACGGCTAACACAGTCATCCACCTCCCCTTGTTTACTGTCACCGTCGAGAGGGACTTGGGCTCAGGCAGGTCACCTCCTCTCTGCCCAAGGGATTGGACTGTCCTGCTTACAGGTGTCCAGGTGACCTGAGCACGGAGATGAACAGCCACAGAAATAAAGATCCAGCCATCTCTCCCTCGGGAGGCCTCCAAGAGTGTCCAAGCAGAGCCTCGTTCTCCCCACACACGCATCAGATGCCGGAGAACACGTGTGTTTATCATCTTTTTCAGATTAGAAAACCAAAGCCCACGGCCATGGGGCAGAGGCTGTCTCGGGAACAGCCACTGGACGACAGCGCTGTTCCTTCTGCGCAGGACACAGAGTGAGCCAAGCAAACTTCCCAGGCTCCCTGTTGTCTGTTGCACTCGTAAATGGCAATAAACACGTGTGCAATGAAGATTACAGACATTTT